GAGCCATTATTCGTCCTGTGAAGACTGGACTGGACTGGACTGAACTGAACTGAACTGAACCTGAAATCGAGCGTTACATTGCTCCGCCTTGAAGGTCACTTTGGCAAATCACGCTTTCGCCGCCATGGCCACTTGGGAGGATCAGGCGGGTTCCGATCCTGCTCTATTATCTTCCTTCTCGAATCTTGACGTAAATGCTCCTGAATTTGAACCTGGTCAGCCTTTTGTCTTTAAATCTCAACCAAATGCAGCTGCTCCGCTCCCCACTAATGGTGATGAGCCTGTCGTCCCGTCATCTACGTCAGACGAAAAGCCGGAGCCCGTTGGGGAAGGTAAGCTAGCTTTAGTTCAGCTCATTGTTTTGAAGCTGGAGAACCAGCGGAGGAGGAAGTTGAAGGATCTAAACCTACAGTAATGATTATTAGCATTCTCTCAGTCGGCTAATTTTTCATCTAGTTCGTAGAACCGGATACCCGGAAGGAAACCATAAATCTCGTATTCATTGGCCATGTGGATGCTGGAAAGTCAACCATAGGTGGTCATATTTTGTATCTCACAGGTAAGTGGCATGTTCAGTTTAAAGTTCGAGATATTCCCATTAGATATGGTGGATAAACGCACCTTGGAGAAGTACGAACGTGAGGCTAAGGAAAAAAACAGAGAAACGTGGTATTTATCTTGGGCTCTAGATACCAATGCTGAAGAGCGAGAGAAAGGAAAAACAGTTGAATGTGGTCGTGCCTACTTCGAAACAGAGAAGAAACGCTTTGTCTTGATTGACGCACCAGGACACAAGTCGTTTGTGCCGAATATGATTTCCGGGGCAGTAGTCGCTGATCTCGCCATATTGGTAATTTCCGCTCGGCGTGGAGAGTTTGAGTGTGGTTTCGAGAAAGGAGGACAAACGCGGGAGCACGCCGTCCTTGTCAAAACAGCTGGTGTGAAATACTTAATCGTCGTCGTTAATAAGATGGACGATCCTACTGTGATGTGGGACCAGACACGATATAATGAATGCAAAGACAAAATTGCTCCCTTTCTTAAGAGCGTTGGTTTTAACGTCAAGACGGAGGTGTTCTTCATGCCCTGTTCTGGATATACTGGTGCATTTTTACGTGATGTCCCTGATGAATCCGTATGTCCATGGTTTCGTGGTCCTTCACTGTTGGAACTTCTGGATTCCCTCCCTGGTATAACGCGAAAAATTGATGGCCCACTTAGGATCCCCATATCCGACAAATACAAGGATATGGGAATTTTTGTTACCGGAAAAATCGAATCTGGCACCGTCGTCCGCGGGCAAAGTGTCGTGTTACTACCAAATAAATTGAATGTTGAGATAGCACAAGTAAGTGTACCGTGCTGTAATCATTATAATATTGGCTTAATAAATTTTACAGGCCGTGGTTGAAGTAGAGATTTGGATCATTTTTCAACACCGTAGTTATTCGAATTATTTGTTTATCTCATTTCCACCCGCAGCCCCTCACTTTGTCCCAACTTCCGGTCCGTTGCACCCCCTGTTAATCTCTTTTAGCGCTCTTCAATGGCTGTTCCCGAATAGCGTTGAAAGGAATGAAGCATTGCAGGAGTTGCAGATTGTGAAGTAACTTTCAATTCTAGGGGCCTTTTATGCGGTTGAATCAACAAGTCCACTTGAGTGGCGCATACAACGTGCACCTATCGGTCGGTGTGCTGCGCATTAGAGACTCAAATTCAGGATCCTTTTAGTATAAGTCACTTAACTACATCGGTTTTGTCCTTCGCACGTCAGGAGATGGCTACTTGTCGTTTATGTGCAATACTTCTCCAGAGATCAGTTCGCCTATGGGGGAAAAACAACTGAAAGGTGTTTGTACATCTGAGAATAGTAGTTCTGACGGCACAAAAGGAAGGATTCCACGACAAATTTCGTGAGGCCATTCGGTTGATTTGATTCTACGACAGATGAATTCTCTATTTTCAAACTTTCCTCTACTCCGTCCTGAGACAGCAACCAATACCACCGCACGAAAGTTTATGGTTAATGGTTGTAAAAACTGAATTGAACGATGTGACTGAGTTTGCAGGTAGTTGTAACGCGCAGGTCGGGAAAACGGAGCTCNGCCTTATATTCTGGTCTGCCGGCGGTCGACTCCGCTTCGATACGGACCGCTACCTATCCCTGCCCAATAACAACTTCCGATATAGCTCTCGACGGACGGCAACGCGGAGAGCTATTTCAAAGGTTAATTTGATTCAAATCGACCACAGCGGTAAGCTATCGTTGACGTGACCCTGTAAAAAACCGCAGGTCCCATTGGCTACCTGTATTTAGTCTGATCACGCGTTAATTTTGATGTACTTAACGCTCCAAACCATTCTTCATCGATAAAATCAACGAACTTGGTCAGTCTATCATCGCATCTCTGACCCAGTCGTTTATGCACTCTGTGAGGGAGAGCTGGGGCATGAGCTAAACGTGCCGCAGATTGGTATAGGTGAACAGTTAGATTAGATTAAACGAACTTTGTTGATCTGAGCCCAAATCCCGTCCGAGACATGGGATATCTCACGGGTCAGTAGTGCTGATAAACGAAGAACGATAAATGGCATTCGGACAGACTCAAAATAGAAACCGGTGACGTCTCAAGAACGACCGCGTATGTGGGGTCTTCCTACGAAAGTAGGAGTCTTTTCTTGGTCTCAAGCTCTGATGAGAGGAAAAGCATCAGGGCCTGATGGACTCCTCGTTCCGTGATATGTTCGATGATCTAGACTTATTGATTTACTTCATAACATCTGGTTGCGAGCGCATTCCATCATCTTGGATCGAATCATTGATAGTCCCAATTTTTGAGAATGAATTTCGCTCCGACTGGGCAAATTATCGTGCAATAAGTTNAATAAGTTTGGTCTCAATCGTCACTTTAGTATTGTCCTCCGTCATGCTTCGGCGTCACGTCTTTGAAAGAGAGTAATCTCCGTGAACAGCGGGCAGTATCATGGCATGCCTGCCAGTCCATTGGTCTAATTTTGACTTTATCTCTTTGTGGACCAGCAATAGTGTAGCTTTCCGAAAAAGAGATAACAACAGACTGATCGTTTGAGAGCGGCAGAAAGCAGAGTCCAGGGGTTTGAGGCTTCATCCATCTAGTATATATACAATAAACATACACTGTGATTCAAAGTCAGTTTTATTATGGGCGATTTAACAAAGCTAAAGCTTATCATAGCATTTTTACAGAATATTTTGAATAACAAAGAGAAAATATTAACAATAACAGTATGCACGATCACTCACGGATGTCGAAGTGTTCCAATGCTTTATCAACTTGCGATTGAAATAGTTGAACTGTAGGAGCACACACTACATCGGATTGAAGATAATTCGATACGCCGCACACTGACTGCAGACGAGTGATGCCGGAAATCAAGGTTGCTGTTCTGGGTCCTCAACTTTAGTGGATGTCTCCTAAGGTGATCATTTTGAGATAAAGTCAGCAGAGAACGGTAAGGGTGGTTAGGTTGGTGCAGTATGTGATGTGCTAAGATCAGGTCCCCTGAAGCCGGCGGTATTGAGATGAGTAGAGTCCCAACAGTTGCAGTCTTTCGGAGTGTGTCTTGTTATACAGACCTTTTACCCATTTTGTTGCCAGTCTTCGCGGACGTTCTAGAGCCTTTTTTCGCGGCTCAACCATGGATTCTATACTTGAACGGCGAAAGACGACAGTTTCTTGATCTGAAAAAAGCTTCTGACTCAGTTGTCCGCTAATCTTTCTTCGATTTTTTTCTTTGAAGAAGAATGCACCTGAATTAT